GCTCTGAGAGAGGCAGAGACAGGAAGACCCCCTGGGGTCCAGGCTCACGGAGAGACCCTGCCTCAAAGGAATAGCGAAGAAGGATAGAGGAAGGCGCTCAGGGCCTCTGTGTCCCCTCTCCCTGCACATGCACTCACAGATGGCTGCTCATACATAATAAGTACACCTTTTTCGAGACAGCATTTCTTTGATAGCCTTGGCTGTCCTTGAACTCGATCTGTAGACCAGGCTGGACTTGAACACAGAGATCCATCTGCCTCTACCCATCCAAGTGCTGGGAGTAAAGGTGTGTGCACTACCATCTGTCATAAGTAAATCTTAAAAAAAAAAAAAAAAAAAAAAAACCAAGCTGGGCGATGGTGGCACACACCTTTAATCCCAATACTCGGGAGGCTAAGACAGGTGGATTTCTGTGAGTTCGAGGCCAGCCTGGTCTACAGAAGGAGTTCTATTACAAGCTCCAAAGCTGCGAAGAAACCCTGTTTCAAAAAAACCAAAACCAAAACAAACAAAAAACAAAACCAAAAAAAACCCCGATACATTATACATAAAAGAATTATTTTCAGCAGGCTCAGCAGTTAAGAACACCGGCTGCTCTCCCAGTAGATCCTGATCAGTGCCCGCACCCACGTGGTGGCTCACGCCCAGGGAATGTTCTCTTGTGGCCTTGGAGGGCGCTGTGCACTTCTGGTGCACAGACATACATGCATGCAAAACACCCAAACACATAAAACAAAACTATAAGTTTTTCATATGTTTTTTAGCTTCAACTAAAAAAAAATTTTCTTTTAACTTTCAACCAAGTAATTTCAAATCATTTTGCCTTTCAACTTTCTAGCTTTCCAAGATAGCTTCATGAGGCTGAGAAAGTTTCTTACCCTGGGAGGATTTTAGCATTCGTATGTGTTGTTATTAGAGGGCTCCTATGAGGAGAGGCTAGCTAATACTGACAGATGAAGCTCATGAAATGCTCCCATGGACAGCTTGATTGTGATGAGCCTGGCTAATTGATGAAGAGGGAAAAGCACTCTCGTCAGTGTTTCGTGGTAAGATATTTGCTGTTTCAAGCCCTTCAGTATAACATACCGTGTCATGTAGCACGACCATCATTATTCATTTCTGAAATGTTTCATCATTTCCAACAGACTTTTGTACCCATTAAGCAATAACTTCCCATTCTCACATGCCTCCACCCGTTGCAGTCTCAACTCTACTTTCTGTTTCTGTGAACTCAGGCTCGTACAAGGGAAATCATACAGGCGTTGTTCTCCTCTATTTGGTTCATTTTAAGCAGGATGTAATCAAGCTGCATTCATGTCGTAAGATGTGCCTGACCTTTATTCCTTCTTAAGAAATAATTATCCGGGCTGGAGAGATGGCTCAGTGGTTAAGAGCATTGCCTGCTCTTCCAAAGGTCTTGAGTTCAATTCCCAGCAACCACATGGTGGCTCACAACCATCTGTAATGAGGTCTGGTGCCCTCTTCTGGCCTTCAGGCATAAACGCAGAAAGAATATTGTATACATAATAAAATAATAAATATAAAAAAAATTAAAAAAAAGAAATAATTTTCCGCCGGGCGATGGTGGCGCACGCCTTTAATCCCAGCACTCAGGAGGCAGAGGCAGGCGATCTCTGTGAGTTCGAGATCTGGTCTACAGAGCTAGTTCCAGGACAGGCTCCAAAGCCACAGAGAAACCCTGTCTCAAAAAACCAAAAAAAAAAAAAAATCCATATAGAGAGATATAATTCCGTATATATATCCCATAAAATATGAAAATACATACTCACATATAATTTTGGTCTGTTCACCTGTTGACAGACGCTCTCACTTTTTGGCTATTGTGAATAATGAGGTTCAATTATTCGTTTGGGTTTCTGTTTCCAATCATGCTAGGCATAGACCAGTGTGTGTTATGACCAAAATGCTTTGTCCTACTTAGAGTCCATATGCTGAAATCCCATCCTGTAACGTGATGGTCTTGAATAGAGTCTTATCAGGCAGTGGTGGCACACACCTCTAATCCCAGCACTTGGATGGCAGAGGCAGATGGATCTCTGTGAGTTCGAGGCCAGCTTGGCCTACAGACTGAGTCAAAGACAGCCGAGGATACACAGGGGAACCCTGTCTCTAAATACCTAAATGAATGAATGAAAGTCTTGGGGCTGAAGAGATGGCTCAGCGGATGAGAACACTGGTTCTGGGGAGCCAACGTCCTCTTCTGACATCCATGGGCATCAGAGACACAAGTTGGTACCCAGACACATATGCAGGCCAAACACTCATACACATAAACTAAAAATAAATAAAAACAGTCTTTGGTAGCTGATTATGATTATCTGAGGGATAATTAATGGATGATGTCTTTTCCAGAGACCTAGCTGGCATCTTCTTTGTCATGTGAGGACATAGTACGAAATGGGCTCTGAAAAGGAAGCCGCCTTGACCCCACTCCAGCTCAGCTGGCACTCTGGTGGTGCTTCCAAACCTTCTGGCTACGAGACGTTTGTTTAAGCCTTTGAAATTATAGTATTTTATTACAAGTTAGCAGAGTGGAGTTGCTAGATCGTAAGATAATTTCATGTCTAACTTCCCGAGGCATTGCCAGACTGTTGTTTTCCCATGATGGCTTTATTAGTTTTCATTCCTATCAGCAATACACAAACATTCCAGCTTCTATGTATCATAACCAAGAGTTGTTATCGTCTCTCGCCTGAGTGACGCAATGCCATTAGGGCTGAAATGACTTCTCACTGAGGTTTAGGCTTACACTTCCCCAGTGACTCATGGTGATAATTACATTTATTTTGTGTGCGCGTGTGTGCACACAGATGCCACGCAATGTGTGGATGTCTGGCTCCTGTCAGTGGTCCTCTCCTTCCACCGTGTGGGTCCCAAGGATTGAACTCAGGCTGTCAGTCAGGCCTGTCCACAAGTTTCTGTTCCTGCTCAGCCGTCTCTCCAGTCTCAAGTCAAAATCCCTCTGTCTCTGTCACTTTGAAACAAGATGCTATGTAGCTCAGGTTAGTCTGAAACTTGCTATGTATCCCAGGCTGGCCTCAAATTTGGAATCCTTTTTCCTCGCCCTTCTGAATGGAAAGATTGTAGGTATGTGCCAGCAAACCCAGGCTTTCGCTCAAGTTTTACCATCAAGCCACACTTTCTGTTTGCTCATTTTTTTTAAAATTACATTTTAGACCCTTTTGTTGTAGTGTTATAGGAATTAATTTTAAAATATAATTTGTATGTTAAATCATTATCAGATGTTTTACAAATATTTTCCATGAATCTCTGGGTATGTTTAGTCTGTTGCTAATATTCTTTGTGTATGTTTAATTTTAATGAGGTACTACTTACCAGTTTTTATCTTATTACCTGAGGTTTTGGTGTTGTGTGTAAAAAAAGAAATTATTGCTGAGCCCAAGATCATGAAGATTTGCCTCCATAAAAAAGAATTTTTTCTTTTCTTTCTTTCTTTTTTCTTTCTTCTCTCTCTCTTTCTTTATTTTGGTTTTTCTTTTTTCTAACTTTTTTATTTTAAAAATATTTACTTTTTTTTTTTTTCTTTATTTTGGTTTTTCTTTTTTCTAACTTTTTTATTTTAAAAATATTTACTTTTTTTTTTTTTTCGAGATTTTTACTTTTTTTTTTTTTTCGAGACATGGTTTCTCTGTGGCTTTGGAGCTGTCCTGGAACTAGTTCTGTAGACTAAGCTGGTCTCGAACTCACAGAGATCCGCCTGCCTCTGCCTCTGAGTGCTGGGATTAAAGGCATGGCGTCATCGCCCGGCTACTTATTTATTATGTATACAATGTTCTGTCTGTGTGTATGCCTGCAGGCCAGAAGAGGGCACCAGACATCATTACAGATGGTTGTGAGCCACCATGTGGTTGCTGGGAATTGAACTCAGGACCTTTGGAAGAGCAGGCAATGCTCTTAACCGCTGAGCCATCTCTCCAGCCCCCTTTATTTTGGTTTTCCGAGATAGGGTTTCTCTATACCTTTGGAGCCTGTCCTGGAACTAGATCTTGTAGACCAGGCTGGTCTCGAACTCAGAGATCCGCCTGCCTCTGCCTCCCAAGTATGGGGATTAAAGGCATGCGCCACCACCACTGGCCTTTAGTTTTCTTTTTAAAAATACATTTATTTTTATTCTCTCTAGCTTTGTTATATGTTTGTATGTATGTGCATGTGCCTGCAAGTTTGGATGTGCACCGAGAGAGGCAGAAGAGGGCATAAGAGCTTGCAGAACTGGAGTTATAGGTGGTTGTGCGCCATCATGTGGGGACTAGGAACTGAACCTGAGTCCTGCGCAAGAGCAGTAGGTGGAATGTAGCAAATGCTCTTAACTACTGCCGAGTCACGTATTCAGTCCCATCTGTTATCATTTCCAGCGCCCAAAATTGCCAGCGCTCTGGCAAAATGCCCAGGCATCCCAAGCACTGGCAGAGCTGGGTCCCAAGGCCACGCATGCACCATCAAGCATTCAGGCAACTTACAAAGCCACCCAGGGTCCTCAAGCCTTATGTGATCAATGCATGACACACTCACATAAGCCCCTATGCGCACGCGCTAGACAGCCTTTAAGAGCTGTATATGCCCGCTCCTAGCTCTCTTCTCTGCACAAGCTTTCCCAGGCTGGGCACGTTTCTTTCTTTCTCTTAATAAACTCTTAGAGTGGGTTTCGCTGTGTCTTGTGATTCGTTCTCGCGCCCGGTAGACATTTCAGCATATGTCTAGGCAAACAGCAAATCTGATGGCCACGAGACTAGCTTCATTGATAGAGAAGAGTTGAAAACCCAATCCAGTGGGATGACCACACGGGTCTGACGTCTGCTTGTAGCAGAAAGCACATGCGCTTGCCCGCCCAGGTCAGCTTAGTGACTGCCAAAAGGATGGAGAGGTGACTCCTCTTCCCAGGGCGGGAAGAAGTGTGGAGCCAAGTTCACCCGAATCCAGGAAAAAGGCTTCCGCAGTTGATCTGATTCTCACCATCTTACCTCACCCCGGTAGGTTCCTTTGATGACCAATGTTCATAGCCAGTTGAGTGGGTTTAGTCACCATGAGCTGGAGGGGTACCTGGCCCTTCCCGGGTAGAGTAGCTATGGATAAGGGTCGCCCACACCGCTGGCCCGGAGATCTGCTGTAATAGAAGAGAAAGAAATGGAAAGCTAGCTGTGATGTTACTGTATGTGAGAATGGACCACAAGATAAAACAACGAAACCCGCTTTAAGTTTTTTATACCTGTCTGAAGGAAATGTGGCCAAAGAGAATGTGGGGCGGGAATGTCTGCATTTTAAAGGTAGTTCAGCGCATGCGTATAGGGGCTTCCGACATAGCCACGCCATCAAAGGTATAGAGTATGTGGCCACACTGTGCAAGCACGTAGGGCACGTAGGGCGTAAGGCTCTAGGGTAGGTTGGCAATTTGCTTGAGTGCTGTGGCGCATGGACGGCCATGGGACCCCGGAAATGCTAGCACCTAGGGTGTCTAAGCGTTTTGCTTGAATGCTGACAGCTGGCTGTGGACCCCGGATGTGGTGGAAATGACAACAAGCTGTGTCCTGATAACCGCTCTCTCTAGTCCACCATGACGCACAGCTCACCCCACACCTGAGTCCTCTGAAGTTGTGAGCCAAATAGGACAGTCTTCCCAACGCAGAAACAGGAAGTTAAAATGGCTCTTGATAAGCTTTGAAGCCCCAGTTAATTGAAATCCGCCGCCGCCCAGTAATATGCCAGTCAAACCGAATTCTTAAATCCAGACTTAATGAACAGAGCAAAGAAACTCCTGGGTGACCTTCAAGAAGGCAGGAGAGAAATCCCATAGCAAATATACCAGGTCTTAAACAGCCAAAGGCGTGGTCTTGAGCTCCCCGAAAGAGGAGCTGACTTTTGGCAGACTTTCTTAGGGGTGGAGTTTGGAGAGGGCAGCTCCAGTGGAGGGGCCACTGCTTGGCACTGAGGGTGGGGTTTGGAATGGGAGGAGTGAGACCTGAGCGTGGAATGGGGACCCTAGCTGGAGATCCCAAACATTCCAACCTTTTTGGGCATATATGGATGCCAGTAGGGCTTCCACTTAAACAGTTCTCAAGACTGGGTAGCACGACCGACTCTGTATCAAGTGACCCCTAGTGATCTGCCTAGTTCTCCCTCTTCTCTGTCATAAAAAGTTCCACTTATGAGGGGCGTTTTAAAAAGTGTGTGTATGTGTGCCTGTTTTTGTGTGTGTGGTTTGGCCATGCATGTAAGGTCAGAAAGCAGCCTTAAGGTGCCAGTCCATCGCCTGGAAGAGTCACGGTGCAGAGAGAAGGTGCAGACAATGGTACCAGTGCTGGGTTTTGTAAGGAGTCTAGGGCGCCAAACCCAGCCTGTCAGGCTTAGCTGTTGACTGGGTCTGGCTGGCATCAACTAAAACGGAAGCCACTGGCATTGCTGTGAATGTTTTTTCTTGGTCAGATAATTTGAAGGAGGAAGATCCACCCTAAGTGTGCATGGAAGCCCAGATAAAAGGAAGATGGAAGAAGAAAACTTTGCTTTTGCCTGCTTGCCTCCACTCCTGCTGGCAAGTTCGTTTATCCTGTTGCTGTCTCTGCTGCACTCCTTCCCTGATACTAAAAATAGCTTGTTGCAGAAGAATCGGCTGTACGGGCCAATCCACTGTGCCAATAAAGCAACCTTGACTCAAAGGACGGAGTCATCGATTGGCTGACAGGGAATAACCATATAGTTCTTGGAGGACTTTGCAGGGTGGCTAGAAAGAACAGGAAGAGAGGAGGGAGAAATTGGGGGGGGGGTTCCGTTGGAGGGGGGCACTACACGGGGACGTGCAGCTTGGGTCAGCCAATCGCGCTGCTTTCCTTGGATTTTTCGGGTCTTTATCTCAATTTCTGACTCCTGAGTTTTTATTATACTAGAACAAATTAGGCAAACATGACATTTGGCAGCCTGAATGGCTCTTTAGGCTTCCAACGTAGACAGGGGACCCGCAGCTCTTCAGACTTTCAAGACCATATTGGGACTGCTGAGAAATCCATGCTCCTTGCATCCCAGCTTCTTCCATGTGAGACAGCCATTGTAAGATCATCTAAACTATCTTTTAAGCCAAGTATTAAATCTACCTTTTAAAAAAAGCTATTGCTCTCCATGTGTTTCTATCTGGGCACCACATGCGTTCAGTGTCCACAGAGGCCAGGAGAGGGCATCAGGTCCCCTAGAACTGGAGTTACAGGTGGTTGTGAGCCACTGTATGGGTGCTGGAAAACTGAACTTGCTCCTCAGCAAGATCAGCCAGTGGTCTTCACTGTGGAGAGAGAGGAACCCCCGAGTGTGTGAAGTCTTAAGTGACTGTGTATCGTTTGACATGGATATGGTCGTATTGAGGAACGATGCCTCGGATCCGTGGGAGAATTGCAAAGCTGTCACCAGGCGAGGCTCTGGGAAATGACAGTCTCCCATTCTGGTCCAAGTGTGAATGTTGATAGTGTGGGCAGAAAACGTCCACCATAACTTTCTCCCCCTAGATATTTATGGCCTGACAGCTGTTCCCTTCAAAGACGGTTCCTACTAAGATTAACTAAACCTTTGCCTTGATTCTGCCAGTGCCACAAATCCCGTCTCCTTGTTCAACTGTGCGTTCTAAGCCCATCTCCTTGTTCAGCTGTAGGCACTACCACTGCCTCTCTCTTCAACTATACTTAAGGACCCACACTAAGCTTCCAGGTGCTGCGACTTCTTCATCCGAAAGCCCAGTCTACCCAGTCCAGCTTCTCAGTCCGTGTGTCTGTATCTGTCTTCTTTTTTATTCCCTCAATGTCCCAGTCGGATAAGTCCCTGGAGCCATGGAGCTAAACATGGCACTCAACTGCTGAGCCACCTCTCCAGCCCCCAAGTCTTTTAATGTATGTTTATTCTGTAAGTTCCGTTCCTCCAGGGAATGCTGACTAATACACAGGGTGAGTGCCTTTCCCACCGTGGCATCTCTCCAGCTCTGTTTACAGTCCTATTCTAGCGTCAAGCTTAGTCCTAACTCACGGACTTTGCACGGACTGTTTTCCTTTCTGTTCCATTCTTTTCCCTTTTTTGGCAGGGGTGTTGGGGGAATTCTTGCTTGTTTACATCTCTTCTGTCTACAAGCCTCCGACTCCTCCCTGTGCCCTCGCAGGCTTTTCTTCTCTCATAACCTAACCCTGAGATATGTGAGTTACTATGTATCTTCTGATCCCTTGCTTCGCAGGCATTCCCCCTCTCAGGAACCACAGCCCCATGCCCGTTTGCTCCTTGTGTGTTCCTTTAGCAGTTAGCATAGCACCCAGGCCAGCCACCCAGTAATACTCAGTTGACTACACAGAGGGGCAACTCAACTTGTATTTCCTCCTTCTCCAACATTCCTTGGTACTAGTGAAGCCCCCACCCCACTCCCAGGGGTTCACAGGCACGCAGGCTTATTCCTCCAGCTGCCCTTGATGACCTGGGGCCCACCTATCTATCCCACCTCCATGCAGCTGTAGCTCCCGGGGCCCAGCATACTAACCGGGACTTAACATGTGCACAGTGACAGTTTGTACTAAGATGAATAAATACTGGGTTTTGGCCGGGCGATGGTGGCGCACGCCTTTAATCCCAGCACTCGGGAGGCAGAGGCAGGCGGATCTCTGTAAGTTCAAGACCAGCCTGGTCTATAGAATGAGTTACAGGACAACCAGGACTACCCAGAGATACCCCGTCTCAAAACAAAACAAAAACAAAAACAAAAACAAAAAAAAAAAAAAGGAAAAAGATTACACAACAGACAGAAAACAAATGCTGGGTTTTCTGTCTCTTCTGTGTGTTGCCGTGTTGGTGGCAATGGCAGGAAGTTACAGTTCCCGATGCTTGGGAACGCAATAGTGACTGTTCCCAGAGTAGACTTAAGGAATGTTTGCCACGTGTATGATAACCACAACTCCAACTGCTTCATCCCACCACAGTTCACGGTGGAAGACGTGGGGGTGTGACACTTAGAAACGTGCAGTCAACAGGCCCGTCCGAAGGAGGTAGGCAGATACTCGGATGACCACATCTATTTTGAGAACACATTAGGTGGGGCCTGTCTGCAGCAAAACATGCGGAGATTCTGGCACCAGGTCCAGCGCTCAACCTGTCTGAGACACAGTTTTCTTAGAGAGCTCTGAGTCAGGGGCAAAAGATGCGAATGTGTGTAAGGAGAACCGAAGGTGCTGGGCTGAGATGGGTGAGGAACATGAATAGTGAGAGATGGGAGGTGGGAGAGGGGAGCAAAGTGTGTGGAAGGGTAGGGGAGTGGGCAGGTAGGAATAGGTGAGGAGGTCTCCTGGGGAAACGAGAAACAAGTTTAGCAAGGACGAACCTCTTGTGATATAATAAAACCAAGTCTTGAATTGGGGATACCTAGTAGACACCCCTTAAATTCAGACCCAGGTAGCTGGGTGTAGCGGGTCCTTAACCCCAGCACTCTGAAGGCAGAGGCAGACCTCTGCGAATTCAAGGCCAGCCTGACCTACACAGGAGTTCTAGGACAGTCAGAGCTACATAGTGAGGGCAGGATGGTCTAGCAGGTAGGAGTACAGATTTAGCGCAGTTACTAGACATTAGTTTAGCAAAAATCGAAGTAGTAGCAGAGGCAGGTGGATCTCTGTGAGTTTGAGGCCAGCCTGGTTTACATAGAGAGTTGCAGGCAGCCAGTACTGTATAGTGAGTGAGACCCCATCTCAAAAATCAAACCCCAAACTCAACAACAAAGAAAATTCCATAGTAGGAAATGAGATGGGAGGGAACCAGGGTGGGGCAGCGTGGAGAAGAAAGTGGCCACTTCTGAAAGCATCTGTTATGTGAGAGTGATACGTGGGGTCTTTCTACATTCTTGGACCTCACGGGCACCCTTCCAACCCTGCCAACCCTCCCCAGTCCTACCAGCCCCCAATCCTGCTACCCCCCCATCCTGCCACCCTCCATCCCCCCCCCCCCCCCCCCCCCCCCCCCCCCCCCCCCCCCCCCCCCCCCCCCCCCCCCCCCCCCCCCCCCGCACCCTGCCAGTCCTTGGAAACATTAAGCATCAGCAGCATTAAACAGGATTTAATTCATTCAAGGTGTCTCACATTCAAAACAAATTATTTTAAGTATTCCC